GTGTATATGGAAAGTAAACATGACGACTCGTCTTTTTTCTTGATACGCCCATAACATTACATATTCATCAGTGGACTTACCTGGTGTCATAACTAAACAACATGATCCCTGTTTACTACGATCAATCTATAAAACTGAATATTTAGTGAAAAACGCTTAAAAATATTAAGCGTTTTTCAATATCTCCCTTCAGTTTTATGAATTTTGGATTGATCAGATTATTGAGAGATTCTGTTGTAAAGTTATTACACCAGCTATGTTCACTGATGAAAATAGACTGATTTTGGTCAAGTTAAAGACTTCAATTTTTGTGGTTATCTGAGAGGTATTATTCTTTTAAAGTTAAACCTCGTCGCCATCAAAGTTAGTTGATCTGTAATCCGACAGAATGTGTTATTGAATCAAATCATTTTATTTTGAATAAACTTTGAATAGATTTTAAGGGACAGTCTGGTATTTCAAGTCGGGTGGGAAAGTAAATCAATTTAAACAATAAACCGGGATCTAGAGAAATAAGTCATTACCTAATCGGAAAGTCTTAGCCACAAGCATCTTGTCGATGACTTTTAGAGCGCCAAAACTACATTACGTGAACCTTTAAAATACCTTATGTTTTTTTTTTGCCTTAGATAGCATAGTACTGTTTAACAGTAAAACAAGCGCCGAATTGAGAAAATATCGAGCTATTATACGGACCAACACCGAAAGTAGACCATTTAACTATATATTTTTACCAAGTTTATATTTTTTAAATTGTTTATGATGAATAATGAATACTATACAAACAGTTCTTTCAATATTATCTGTTATAACAAGTTTCTGTAATAAACTCTTATTGATTATTGTTTGCATAATTTCAATCATATCATTGGTTCAAGTTAAATCTAGTCAACCATCAAAAATATGTTTAATCATATAGACATTTATATATAAAACAAGCAATGAATCGCTTTGTGCATATCAGAATTCAAAATCATCTCAACTTATAGGTAAAATAGTGTATTTAATTACTGTAAACTGAAAAGAAGAATTATGGGCCTCTTCTTCGGTTTTTTATTGGGCGCTCCGGCTTCTTGACAATCTTATAAAATTGCAAATAGGAAATCGAAATTGAAATATCAAATCGGTAGGTGTGTATTTATCTACAAACACTGTGAACGTATGGTTAGATCGTATTTTCAAGAATTGTAGACGTATTGGATAGATCGTATCTACAAGAACTGTAGACTTATTGGATATATCGTATCTACAAACACTGTGAACGTATAGGATAAATCGTATCTACAAGAACTCTTTACCTATCAGATAGATCGGACCCACAAGAACTGTGAACTTATCCGATATATCGGATCTACAAGAACTGTGAACAAAGTGGATAAATCGTATCTACAAACACTGTGAACGCATCGTAGACGTATTGGATATATCGAATCTACAAGAACTGTAGACGTATTACATACGTCGTATCTACGAGAACTGTAGGCGTATTAGATATATCGTATCTACAAGAACTGTGAACTTATCGGATAAATCGTATCTACAAGAACTGTGAACGTATCGGATAAATCGTATCTACAAGAACTGTGAACGTATCGGATATATCGAATCTACAAGAACTTTAGGCGTATTAGATAGATCGTATCTACAAGAACTGTAGGCGTATTGGATATATCGAATCTACAAGATCTATAGACGTATCGGATATATTGTATCTACAAGAACTGTGAACGTATCGGACATATCGTATCTACAAGAACTGTGAACGTATCGGATAGATCGTATCTACAAGAACTGTTAACTTATCGGACATATCGTATCTACAAGAACTGTTAACTTATCGGACATATCGTATCTACAAGAACTGTTAACTTATCGGATATATCGTATCTACAAGAACTGTTAACTTATCGGACATATCGTATCTACAAGAACCTTGAACGGATCGGACATATCGTATCTGCAATAACTGTTAACTTAAGAACTGTAGATGTATCGGTTGAAAATTTTTTTCCTCGGGTAAAATGAAAATATATAACAAATTCGCCATGTTGAGACTCTGTTTCTTGATTTTGCCTCTACGAGCTGCCATTATATCTCTGAAGCCTTACTCTCCTTTTACCGGTTTTACTGACTTAAATTACAGAAACTCCAAAGTTGTGTGGGTAAAAGCCGAGGGTGTTGGAAAATTTGGATTATTCAGTGAAGCAAACAACGAAAGTTTAGTTTACGAAGTGACTTTTGGTAGCAGACGTAATACAGAATCTAAGATTATGGATAGTTTTGGTACTCAAATAAAGTATACGGGAGCTCTCTTATTTGAAGGCGATTATTTCCATACACGTTGGATCCAGTGGACAAATTTCACAATTTCTGCAGGTTCTGGCACAGTTCCAGGTGAAAACACAGCATTCACTTTAACTCGTGTGGAAACTCAACCAATTCGGTTTGTGGCTGTCCGTACAAAGAAATATAAAGTCATGGCTATCCTTGATCTGTCTTGTAGTAAAATTCCTCTCGATATATAATTTATAATAAATGTATAAAGATTAATTGGATTCTTATTGTGTTATCATGCTGTACACATTTGTTTATGTTTCTGATACACAATCTTCATCAGGACATTTCTGGAATGGGATCAGCTTTCAGAAGTGAACTGCGAGCAAAGTGAACTATTTTACTGAACAGAAAAGACCAATCGACAACAAGATTATGTGAAGCTAATATTACCGATATTATCTGAACTCTGTGACATATTTGAGTTTTTGTAGCCTCTACATCTTGTGGTGATGTATTCGTGAATTTTTAAATAAATCGTACATTGAAATATTGTCTAATTGTTTGTATTGTATTGTTCCTGTGGCCTGAATTTTAGACTGGATTATGTCACCTTGGACATAATTTTGACTCCAGTAAAATACAGAATTGTTTATTATTATTATTATTATTATTATTATTATTATTCTTATTCGTGTGGCAATGTTGAATCTATATGTCATCGAATAAAACATGTCATACAGAAAACCAAACTGACCATACATAATCCGACTCAAGTTGAAAATAAGGCCATTAAAAAATCCCAACATCTCAATCGTGCCAGCAGATAAATGGACAGACGGATCATTTTTTGCCCAATCGTACCTTAATCTGAGAAACGGGATTTTTTTTTTTAGCTAAGCCAATCATTAATAGTGTTCATAGCTCGCCGTCAAAATTTGAGCCTTCAAATCCATCTGTGAATTTTTCGCGTTTGAATATTACATTTTTTTTTATATTTCTTGTACGTTTGAAGACTTTTTACATATATTCAAAAACTCAAATCAAACCCAAAAATGGTGCATCTGTCCTTTTTTAAATGCAGAATTAGATCACCTACGTAATGTCTTTATAATCAATAATGATTATCCATTTAATTATTGAATTGGTTAAGGACACAATAAACAGAACTATCGACCAACGAAACTAACCTACCCAGAAAATGATAATGATAATCCCTTACATTGGAACTGTTAGCCACCAGATTAAAAGAATTATTACAAATAATCGACATGGTCTTTAAAAGCCAGTCAACCCCTAATCTGTTCTTTAATCACTTTATTTGTTAATTATTGTGTTTTTTTGTAAGCTAATTAATTATTAATTACATCGTGGTGCTTCTTCATCCATTAATGCTTAGCATATTGTCTTTTATCTATTGTTATTGTTGTTATCTATCACTAATCTTAGGGAGTTATAGATCCCAGCTTTAACTATATATATACTTGTTGTTCTTATTCTGTCATTATTATTTTGTGCTTGATAAAAATTTCTTATTTATTTTCCGTAAGGCTGAATCTGTGAATCTGTATTGGTAATGAATGGTTGATTCGTTGTGTCTTCATGGGAGAGGTTGTTTCCGGTATTTAGCAGTGATTTGTCAAGTGATAGTAATATTACGACCTGAATGTTGTCTTTAGGGAGGATGATATATTGTGATTGATTGCCCAAGGAGAAATTTTTATTATCATTTTGAATTTGTTGTATCATTGACTTTGTTTACAAACCCTTGTAGTACCGAACGACCAGCCTCTGATTTTTTTATTATCAGAATCACGTGATCACGTGACAATATTGACATAGTGCCGTTATACAATGACTGCCATTCAACACCATGATGTGTTGCAGAGCCCCAGCGGAACTTTCACGATAGAATGTTTGTTGATACAATTGACTAGAAATAAGAAGATTTCTATAAGTTTTCTATAAGCTCAAGCAGGTGATTTTGATGGCTAGTCACCTGGAATAGGGTCCAAGAGACATTATACCATTAACATAGAAGACAGCACCACTTCTTCACGCTTTTAATATGTAGAAATATCCCCCATAATCCGCTTCCACTCAAACATGCGAAATAACAATACTATTTATTGATACCAGTCTTGCATTTCTCTTTTACGGTGGTTGTATGGAGAAATATTGAATATTTTTAGAATAATGGTTACCGAATACTTCGGTGGCTCACATACGACATTTTCCTGTTTTTATTTTGAATTAATAACCTTAATTATCACCTAAGTGAAATTTAAAGTTTTTAAATAACAATTTCAGGAATTATCACCTAATTTTCACCTTTTCATTATTATAATTCATGTTTTTATTTTAAAATTAAAAGTGAAATATGTGGTATGTGAGCCACCGTAGAATTCAGTTTAACAATAAACAAAATCTTAATTAAATAAACAAAAATATTTTTATTTCATTTTTATTTGTGAATAATGATTTAAGATTTATGTTATTCTGAAGTACCATTAAGTTTGTTTTGAATGACTGAATCCCGAATACTACTTCTACTTCTAGTTTCATTCATTGTTCAGTCATCGGAACTATTTTTATTAGAAAAGAAAATGCATCAGTCATGTCATTGATTTAAAATTAACTTCGAAATTTAAGCCTTTAAATCAACGTGTATA